CCCAAGATGCGCATGGCACAAGAGCCATAGGTTGGACATGCCTAGTGGACGTCTTCCTTTTGGAAAGTCAGGCACATGGATTTTAATCTCTACAGAAAGCCACCATCATAATACACAGGCCAGCATTAGGGGTCAGGGAACATAGCAGGGAACATGGCCCAGTTAGGTTGTCCCACAGGGATGACCATGGCTAGGCACTTGAAAAAAGCCCCATGGGAGGTAGGGGCAGCGACTGGGCAGTAGGTGCACCAGAAGCAGGCCGAGAGGTGTGGCCAGGAGGAAAAGGCAGCAGGGCAGCAGGAGTGTGGACAGCAGGAGTGTGAAAAGCAGGAGTGTGGACAGCAGGAGTGTGAACAGCAGGAGTATGGACAGCAGGAGTGTGGACAGCAGGAGTGTGGGCAGCAGGAGTGTGAACAGCAGGAGCATGAACAGCAGGAGCGTGAACAGCAGGAGTGTGAACAGCAGAGCAGGAGTGTGGACAGCAGGAGTGTGAACAGCAGGAGCATGAACAGCAGGAGTGTGAACAGCAGGAGTATGGACAGCAGGAGTGTGGACAGCAGGAGCGTGAACAGCAGGAGTGTGAACATCAGGAGTGTGAATAGCAGGAGTGTGAACAGCAGGAGTGTGGACAGCAGGAGTGTGAACATCAGGAGTGTAGACAGCAGGAGTGTGGACAGCAGGAGTGTGGACAGCAGGAGTGTGGGCAGCAGTAGTGTGAACAGCAGGAGCGTGAACAGCAGGAGTGTGAACAGCAGGTGTGTGGGCAGCAGCAGTGTGGACAGCAGCAGTGTGGACAGCAGGAGCGTGGACAGCAGGAGTGTGGACAGCAGGAGCATGGACAGCAGGAGTGTGAACAGCAGGAGTGTGAACAGCAGGAGTGTGGGCAGCAGGAGTGTGGACAGCAGCAGTGTGGACAGCAGGAGCGTGGACAGCAGGAGTGTGGACAGCAGGAGCGTGGACAGCAGGAGTGTGAACAGCAGGAGTGTGGACAGCAGGAGTGTGAACAGCAGGAGTGTGAACAGCAGGAGCGTGCACAGCAGGAGTGTGAACAGCAGGAGCGTGGACAGCAGGAGTGTGAACAGCAGGAGTGTGGGCAGCAGGAGTGTGGGAAGCAGCAGTGTGGACAGCAGGAGTGTGAACAGCAGGAGCGTGGACAGCAGGAGCGTGCACAGCAGGAGTGTGAACAGCAGGAGTATGGGTAGCAGGAGTGTGAACAGCAGGAGTGTGGGCAGCAGGAGTGTGAACAGCAGGAGCATGGACAGCAAGAGCATGGACAGCAGGAGTATGGGTAGCAGGAGTGTGAACAGCAGCAGTGTGGGCAGCAGAAGTGTGGACAGCAGGAGTGTGAATAGCAGGAGTGTGAACAGCAGGAGTGTGGGCAGCAGGAGTGTGGGCAGCAGGAGTGTGAACAGCAGGAGTGTGGGCAGCAGGAGTGTGAACAGCAGGAGTGTGGGCAGCAGGAGTGTGGGCAGCAGGAGTGTGAACAGCAGGAGTGTGGGCAGCAGGAGTGTGGGCAGCAGGAGTGTGAACAGCAGGAGTGTGGGCAGCAGGAGTGTGAACAGCAGGAGTGTGGGCAGCAGGAGTGTGGACAGCAGGAGTGTGAATAGCAGGAGTGTGGACAGCAGGAGTGTGAACAGCAGGAGTGTGGACAGCAGGAGCGTGGACAGCAGGAATGTGGGCAGCAGGAGTGTGGGCAGCAGGAGTGTGGGCAGCAGCAGTGTGGGCAGCAGGCAGAGGTGTGTGGCTTCAGGCAGAGCTAGGGGCATAGGAAAGGTCTGGGAGCCAGGACTGAATTGAGGCTGAAAGGCTACAGATTACATTCAGCAAAGGGACCTGGAGCAGAGGAATAGCTTAAGAGACAGTGCGTGTGTTTCAAGGTGTGGTTATGAGACCCGTGGAGCAGCACAGGGGCAGACGTTCGAGGGGGCTGATGGTGTAGGTGGGTTTTTATTTCAAGGGGCAAGAGTTGTGAGATTACACTGCAAATCTATCAAAACTGAAATGCCGTATGGAGAAGGAAAATAACATTCTAAACGGGATCGCGTAGCCACAGTGAGCAAGAAAGACAAAGAATTAATCAGCCTTCTGGGGTCTGAGGCAGGCGCTTAGGCAAGCTCACCTTGCCCCACCCCCACCCGCTCCCTGCAGCAAGGTGCTCTGCTTCTCTAGACTCCCTCTGTCCTTTAGTAATGTTTCCAGAACATTCCAGAAAGTGTCCAGATGCTTGGAGAGCCCACATGCTCATGTCTACTGTTGGATCTGGTTCTCTGAGTTGATTCTTTAGGGGTTCTGAGAATGGAGAGCCCACTATCCACCCCTACCCCAGCAGGTGCCTGCCCACTACCCACCCCCTATCCCTAGCCCCACCCCTGCAGGCAGCTGCTGTTTTCTTCATTTAAGGGAAGGGGCTCCCTGGAAACCCATGCTCAGGGCTGCACTTTCCTGTTAGGGCTGATGCAGGCTGTGAGGTACCCTCCCCCTCTCCAGTCCCATCTGTGCCTTGGCCGGAGGTTTACCTAGCGATGGTCTATAAACAGCATCCTGACTCAGTAACCTAATGCAAAGCAGGCATTAGGGGGAACTTACACACTGGGAGGAGTCAGGGAAGGGACTCAGGAGACCTGGTTCTTCCTAGCTCTGGCCTGGGTGTTGTAAGGGGGTTTGCTTACTGGCTCACTGATGTTCAGGAGGCTGAGTGGGAAGATCAAAGAGGCAGGGGCCTCTCCTGAGAATAAACATGGGGAGTGGGCACACATGTACACTTTGCACTCAGAGATGCACACGTACACATGCACACACATGTGCATGTACAGGTTTTGTTGAGATGCTGAAGTCTAGGAGAGGCGCCCCACGGAACACAGACAGAACGTAGTCTCAAAGGGATCAACAGGCTGGGCATCTCCCTCTGCACCTGTGAAATCAGTGTCCATCCAGTATAAATTCAAGGTCAAAACCTGAGTCGTGGGCAGGAGAGCAAGCTGGGTGGAAGGGCCACTCCCTGAATTGTCTCTCTCTCTCTCTCTCTCTCTCTCTCTCTCTCTCTCTGCTCCTGCTGGCACTGATTCATTGCCTCCTCAGAATGCATTGGAGGGAGGGGCTGTGGTATAAACTTCCATAATACAGCTGAGAAAAACACTAGCCCCATGGCGGATTTCTGTCTGTGTCGGTCAGGGTTCTCCAGAGGAGCTGAACACATAGAGTGGATGCACATTAAAAGGGCGTTTGTGAGATTGTTTACATACTATGGTCTGGGTAGTCCAACGATGGCTGTCTTCATTCTGAGCGAGGCCAAGATGGGCTGCTCAGTCTACAAGGCGGGTTCCCCAGCTGTCCCAATGTGGTGCTAGAGAGCTGGAGGATCCCTCGGGAGTCTCTGGTCTTCATTGCATGTCTGAAACCCACAAAAGCTGGGCCAACAGTGACAGCATGCAGCAGTATCAGAAGAGATGGATTTGCAAAGGAGAATGCATGAAGCAAGCAGACCAAGAGTGATGTTTTCTTCTTGTGTCTCCTGGACCTGGGCTGCCTCGAGACGCCGCCGCCCGCCCACACTGAGTGTGCAAGGGAACTGGAAAGTTGGAAGTGGGCAGGGCCCCTCCTCCCCGCCCCCCACAGCACAACATACCACTGTCATGAGCACCACATTCCCACCCTCATTCCTCTGTAAGCGTTCTCCATGTATATGAACTTGCTGCCCCAAACTGTCTCAGGGCCCCAGGAGGAGTGAGTAGGTACATTTGGGCTGGGTGACTAAGAGAGGTTGACCAAAGGGTCCCCAGGCAGAGGTGTAGACAGCATGTAGCATTAGTCAGGTGGGGGGGGGGGATTGGCATCTGGCTGCCTGCCTTGGGCTGGCCCAGCCCACACTCCCTGTCCCTTCCTCTTTAGACAGGGGTACTCTTGGTGAAAGCTGGGGACTCTGGACCCTAAGGGCCTCCAAGGTAGGGACCTGGAGTGCCAATGACCCATCTTCATACTCTCCATCTCCTGATTGTACTCCTGGCCAGACCCACAGAGATATATCCACGGTACACCCGTATGTGGGCACACACACCCACAAGTAAAGGCATGGGCCCCAGCTTCCTGCACACCTCCCTGGCAGGACTGTCATGTCACATGGAGTCCTGGGCCGCGTGTGAAGGCCTGGTGGGCTAAAACACTTGACAGAAACAAAACTGAGTGCAGGTCTGGTCTGTTTGGACTCACAGTCTCGGGGGGTGGGGGTGGGGTGGGGTGGGGGTGGGGGGTCCTCGGCAGTGAGAGCATGTGACAAGGCTCCTCACACTGTAGGAGAGAGGAAGGAGGCAGGGACTCGGAACCAGGGGTTCATATGACCTTCAAGAGGCTGCCCCTAGTGACCCATCTCTGGCAGACAATCCCCACCCCCCAAAGGTTTCATGGCATGACAAAATAGCTCCATCCCTTGGAACCAAGTGTTTTAAAACATGAGCCTATGGGGGCAGTTCAGACTGAACATGTAACGCCATCTTTCATAGACACCAAGCTCCTCACATGAGACCTCTGGGGACACAGCCAAGTCATTGTCCTTGTATTCGGTGCTAGTTAGCAAGGGTTAGGGACTAGTTGAGTGGCACCCCCTCCCCTTCTCCACAGCCTGTAAGCTCCCTGAATACAGATCCTGCGCTTGCACTCACTGTGTATGCCTGCACTCAGCATGGGTTAAGCATCTGCATGTCCGGGAAAGGCCCTAAACTCCATCTTGCATCCTCGTGGATGATGTAGGGTTTTTTTTTTTTTTCTTCTAATTAATTATTTTTTTTCAGTGTGTGAAAAATGTGTGTTTGGTGTCTTGGAGGCCAAAAGAGGATCCCCTGGAACTGGAGTTACAGACGGTTGAGACTTACCATGTAGATGCTGGGAACTGAACCCAGATCCTCTGTAAGAGCCGCCAGTGCTCTTAACCACTTGAGCCATCTCTCTAGCCCAGATGTGTATGTCTTGATAGTCACAGTTAATGATGTTTTCTTCTCTGCTCCCCCAGGAAGAGCCTCCCTCCTCTCTGTCGTGAACACAGATGCCTTATTCTTGGAAGCGACCCATGCTCCTGTCTGTTCATGAGGACCCCATGCCCACCACAGCCTCTTTTGGGTGAGTCAAGGGATCTTCAGTTGACTATCAGTCACTCTAGGAGGGCTGCCTCCTGTCCTGGATCATGGCTGAAGTGGCATGCATGTTAGGCTTGAGATCAAAGCTTCAATCTTAGTCCCCATGTTTGTCAGAAGCGACATGAGTGGCCTTTTGTGGGACTAAGGGAGGGCCTGAGGATACATCATCACAGGCACGCTGTCCAAAAGATCAACTCGGAAAAGAAGGTAAAAGAATCAAACTTTGGCCAGGAAGGTGGTAACACACACCTTTAATCCCGGCACTGGGGAGGCAGAGGCAGGTGAATCTCTGTGAGTTTGAGGCTGGTCTAGTGTGCCAGGATAGCCAGAGCTGTTACACAGGGAAACCCTCTCTCAAAAAACAAACATCAAACAAACAACAACAAACCAAACTTTGGCATCAGTGCACAACAGATCAGAGAGGTCCAAGCTGTGAAGACAGGGTCTCTGTGGAACTGACACCTTCTGGAAGACAGAACACTAAGGGAACCCTTGGGAACACTGAGCCAGAGCAGAGCCAGGAGACAGAGCTCCGTCCTCACAGACCAATGCTGGCAGAACAGCAGAGGGCCCTAACCTGTCCATCCTATGGCAGGTGCAGCAGAGATGTCACCCCCCCCCCAGGCCACTGAGAGTTGTCCCCGTAGTTCTCAGTGTTTGCTGGCCAGGCAGCCTCCTGATACGCCTGGGTTTGCTCAGCGTTGGCCCACAGAATGAATGCTGAGTGACTGAGACGGTGTACTTACGTCTCTAGTGGGCACACAGCTCCCCCAAGCTGCTGCTAAGAACATGGGCTCTCTGCGTCCACAGAAATAGGTCCCAGGACTGGAACGAGGACACCCGGAAGATTCCAAAAGAAGCTGCCTGTCCCATAGGCCCTCAGGGTGTAGGACAGCCTGCTCTGCTTGTCGATGACTAGGCTCCCCTGGAAGAGGCTGAGCCACAGGGGCAGAAACAGCACAGGCTGCATTGGGGTAGGCTCGCAAGGAGCTTACAAGTGTTCACTTCCTAGGGTGTCTGGCTTCCCATGGCCAGCACTCTGTGAGGCCAGGAAGGTGCTGCGATGCATTTAGTGACCTTAGTGACCTCACCTTGAAGGTCATGTGCCATTATTGCCACTGTAGATCAGCAACAAGTCACTAGTCCAACAACATCCACGGGAAGAAGAATTAGACTCCTCCTCCCAGACGGAGTTATATCAGAGAATTTTCTTTTTTTTTTTTTTTTTTTGGTATCAAGATGTCTACATTCATAACATTCTCAGGGCAACAGTGGAGATGCTTGCTCAATCTTACCTCTGGCATCTCCCACACGACCCCTTTCATATCTGGCACTACCTTCCAAGCTTTAATCTCACTTCCTGACCCCAAAATGGATGAGATGGGTCACTGTTCTACCCTTGGCTGTTTTGTCCTCCCCCATCCTCAGGACTCTTTAAACCCCTTTGGGACCAGCTCCAGGCCTCCTGATGGTGGTGATGGTGGTTGTGATAATGATGCTAATGAAGGTGGGATGCTGGGCCTGTGCCCTCCTGAAATCCCCACCTACCCGGTGCTCATCACTCAGGCACCCATGGCTATTAGGAGCAAGGCAAGTGACCATGGGACTCCTTATCCCCATGGGAGCTACAGAGGCTCCAGACACCCCAGGGTCAAAACTGTATCACCCGTGAGTCACCCGGCTCTATGAAGGCACGGGCCCAGAAGACACCCAAGGGCTGGCTCTTTCTGGGAAGTCTCAGGATGTTGAACAGAACCTTCCCAGATACACTGCTGAGTGCCTCCTCTCACCTTCCCAGCAACGGGCCTCTAGGAAGGGGCCCCTGGCCTCTCCCAGCACCCATTCCATAGGGGCCATGCCAATCACATTTGCATACTGGGTGTGCGTTAGGCTTTGTAATGCATCTTCACAATCACTCTTTGATTTGAACCTTACAACCACCATACCAGGCCAGTCAGGAAGAGAATAGCACACTGGTCCAAGGGAAGTAGAAATGGGAGCCCAGAGAAGTCAAGCAATATGCCCAAGGCTACACAGCTAGGACTGGAACCTAACATTTGTTCAAGCCAAGTGCCTCTTGCTAAACACAGAGATAAAGTCTCTCAGTCTGAACACTTCTGAGAAGGGCTTACCTCATGATGTCCTAGTGTCACCTAAAAGTGAAAGACGAGGCCAGGGTTTAATGCAGGTGAGGGGTCGTCAAGGACTCGTGAATGGTCGCACTAGTTTGACATTGATTTCCATTCCAATAGGTGGACAGAAATAGATAATTACTCGTTTGTTAAACCAAACATAGTGCTTGTGGCTCTTGAGATCTCCACCACAATCCTAAGAAGCATATTACTCCCTTTATACTAGTTAGGGGTCCAGAGACATTAAGTAACCGTCCAAGGTCACACAGCTGATAAAGGAGCCAGGATTTGAACCCAGGTCTAAAACCTCACCTTCTCTCGTCCCATGCTCACCTTACTACACTGCTGCCAGTGGGCATGGCCTTAGATGCGCCTTCTGACGGAAGACACTGGTTGCCCATGGAAATCTCTGTGGTCTTGAGGCCATGTTGCAATCTTTTTACCAGGCATGTCATCACTGCCCTAACCTAATTCATTGCTCATCCATGACCCAGCTCTGAGAGGCTGCGGGGTGACTGCCCCTTAGGCAAGAACGGTAAGAAGGTAGTGTGCCCATCCTCTCATCATGGAGACTTCAGAGGGGATCCAGGCACGGGACTCGTGAGTGTTAGTGTGGCCAAGGAAGAAATTTTACAGAGCTCAGATGAAGGCATTACCATGACCCTTTGGTTCCGTGAACAGAGGGCCTCTCAAAGGGCTCTCTCGTGTCCCCTAGTACTGTCCACAAAGGGACTAGAGTCCTGCCACCCTCGCTGCCCTGGAGAGCCATTAGCTGAATGGTCTCCCCCCCACTTTCTGTACTCCCCCCTTCCCCTGCCCTGCCCCCTTCTCCTCCCTGCTTCCCCGTGGCCTGAGAGTACAACTGTCTCTTCTCCCCTTTCTTTCAGCATTGAAATGTTCAATGTCACCACACACGTCCTCGGGTCTGCTCTTAACAGGACCCTTTCGGAGGATGATGACTGCCCAGACACCGAGTGGTGGAGCTGGCTCAACGCCACCCAGGCCCCCTTCCTCTGGGTCCTCTTCCTGCTGGCTGTGCTGGAGAACACATTTGTCCTCAGTGTATTCTGCCTGCATAAAAACAGCTGCACCGTAGCAGAGATCTATCTGGGCAATCTGGCAGCCACGGACCTCATCCTAGCCTGTGGATTGCCCTTTTGGGCCATCACCATCGCCAATAACTTCGACTGGCTGTTTGGAGAGGTGCTGTGTCGTGTGGTGAACACCATGATCTACATGAACCTCTACAACAGCATCTGCTTCCTGATGCTTGTGAGTATCGACCGCTACCTGGCACTGGTGAAGACCATGTCCATGGGCCGGATGCGCGGAGTGCGCTGGGCCAAGATCTACAGCCTGGTGATCTGGGGCTGTACGTTGCTTCTGAGTTCACCCATGCTGGTGTTCAGGACCATGAGGGACTACCGTGAAGAGGGCTACAACGTCACCGCCTGCGTCATCGTCTACCCGTCCCGCACCTGGGAGGTGTTCACCAATGTGCTGCTGAACCTGGTGGGTTTCCTCCTGCCCCTGGGCGTCATCAGCTTCTGCACCGTGCGGATCCTGCAGGTGCTGAGGAACAATGAGATGAAGAAGTTCAAGGAGATCCAGACAGAGAGGAAGGCCACTGTGCTGGTGCTGGTTGTCCTGGGCCTTTTCGTGCTGTGCTGGGTGCCTTTCCAGATCAGTACCTTCCTGGACACGCTACTCCGTCTCGGCGTGCTGTCCGGATGCTGGGATGTGCACGCTGTGGATGTCATTACACAGATCAGTTCCTACGTAGCCTACAGCAACAGCTGCCTCAACCCTTTGGTGTATGTGATCGTGGGCAAGCGTTTCCGCAAGAAGTCCCGAGAGGTGTACCAGGCACTGTTCAGGAAGGGAGGCTGTATGGGAGAACCCATCCAGGTGGAGAACTCCCTGGGGACTCTGAGGACATCCATCTCCGTGGAACGCCAGATCCACAAGCTGCAGGATTGGGCAGGAAACAGACAGTGAACAGAAGCCACCCGGCAGGACTCCTGCCAAGATGTGTAAAGACTGGTGGAACCTGGGCTACTCAGCCTGGGTTCAGGAAGGAGCTCGAAGCATCCTAGGTGGCCCCAGGGAAATGGGCAGATGATTCCAGACATGTCTCATGGCATGAGCGTGCTGTGAGGAGTGTGTGCCCTAGAGCACAGTGGTTGGCACTCTGGGGCCCCATGAATGGAGGGGTTCTGGGGTAGGGATGGTAGTGACAGCCCTTCCTTCCCACAGTGGGTGGGGAAGGACAGATCTCCAGGAAAACTGCCACTGGCTTTAGTCCTGTGGCTACATGCACAGGAGGCCCGGCTGACTTGCTTCCGGGTCTCATGGTTCCATGACTTCTTGGTCTCTGAAAGGTAGGACCGTGGGATTCTGCTGCTCCTCTCACCCATGGACAAGGTAGACAGTGAAAAAGAACCCTCCAGGGCGTTCATGGAACATTGCTGAATACACAGCATCAGACGCCGTGGGCAAGAGGGAAGAGAGTCACAGTGAACCCCGTCTTAAAGGCTGTAAGTGGAGGATGCCCAGGACTTACAGTCCCTAGAAGGCTGCTGATGATGTATGAACAGGAGAGCCGTGGGGACAGCGGAAAGCACAGGGCCTAGGTGAGCCAGTGGACATCAGTTGCTCGGCTTCCTCTGCCATAATGTGAGAGTGTCTTGTGCTCTGGAAAGTGATAGGTGTTATGTTAACCGTGCGGCACCAGAACATCATGTGGAGACGCCTGGCACAGAGGAAGTCACTGAGCTCAGGAACTACCCTGTGGGGGTCAGTCACTGCTGGAAAACCCAGGACATGCCAGCAGGTGTCTGAGGCCCTCCCTCACTCCTGCCCTTCCTGATTAGGACTCTACCCCCATGCACACACAATAAAGCATTTGGTAGGTGGGGAGGGCCAGAGACTGCAAGTGTTTGTGTTGCAAGGAGACAAAGAAAAAGAATTCTGATGGGATCTACCCAGGGAATCCACGGCTCATAGCCTGGCTGCAAATCGGTAGCTGTCCAGGGGAGTCTAGCCTACTTCACAGAGTCCCTGTCTCAGTGACCAAGGGATGACAATCAGAGTTTGAGAGTGGCTCGCAAAGTAGTGGAAGCTGCCTAAGGGCGGCTGACCCACCCTATGTCACTTATCCCAGGGCATTGATTCCAAACCCAACTACCTACATGGCCACAGACTGCCTCATGGGTGATGGCAGAGGTGGACTGAGCTGCCTGGGAACTCTGACTTGAGAAAGGACCCCTAGGATAGGGAACAACACATCTGTACATTGAACAGACCTCCACTAGAGATGAGAGAAGAGCCGCCCCAAATGGCTTCAGAGCCAATGGTTTCTTCCATCAGAACCTATTTCAGGGTCCTTGGATGGGCTCAGTTGTCAGTGGAGACAGCTGCCCACCAATCCTGCTAGAGACTCAGGTGACAGACACCATACTAGTTCCAGAATCTTCCATGGGAGTTTATTTTTGTGTCTGCACTAGTTAGTTTCCTCATAGCTGTGACAAATTACCCAGGAAGCAGCTTAAGGGAGGGAAAAAAAAAAAAAAAAAAAGGTTTATTTCATCCCATGGTGTCAAAAGGGTCTCAGTCCAGTGTAGCAGGGGCAGTATGGTAACCAGAGCACATGACAGAGACAACTTACATCAGAGTGGACCAGTAAACGGAGACACAGCTGAGACCAGGGGCAGGGGTGACCTTCAAAGGCTTGCCCTGGTGATTTTTACCAACTCGGTCTGACCTCCTAAAGCTAAACCTCCTAAATAGGGCCAGCACTCAGCAAATAAGAGCTGGGATTTCAGACTCAAACTCTAACAATGTTACCGACTGGCCCACTGGCCCGTGTGACTCACAGAACTCTGAGCCCCTGGAGGAGGAGGGGGAGATGAAAAATGCTCCGTGCAGCCTCCAACACCAAACCACTTAGGACCTGGCCACTCAGTAGCCCAGCACCTGTGGAGGCTCAGGAAGTGAGCATAGTTCACTGGTGTTTTTGGCAGGCGCTAGAGCCAAGGGAACCCTTACATGGCAAAACAAAACAAAACAAAACACCCTTGCATCCGGACCAATCTGACTTTGAATTTCCTAACAGAGAAGACCCTGGGGGACTCCTTTCCCACCCCATCCTCTGGCCCTCCTCCAGGAAACTTAACACCTGTAGCCGGAAAAGGAAAACAAGTGATGTCAGGATGTTGTGGTAGAATGGAACCCCACCATGCCCATACTGTAAGTGAAATTCAGGGTCCAGTCCTCAAAAAAGTAGACTGTGGACTGTGGGCTTCAGGAACACAGCTGGCCACAGCCTGGGCTCCTCAGAGTGGCACCTGGGTCTCTGCTGGAGGAGAGCCCCCCCCCCCCCGCCCAGTGCCTTGTGTAGACATGCTGAAGAGACACTGAGTACCGTGAAAGACCCAGAGAGCTTGTGCAGAGGAAGTGTCTGGGGGTGCCAATGTGCGGGGCACCTCGTATAAACTGTGCACTGGAATAAACAGATGAGTTTTGCATAGTGTTTTCCTGTGTCACACTTCCTGAACCCCTGAGCTCTGACTCTGGGATGCTGATCCTGGCATTTCCTGAGGCTTCTGTCATGGAGAATGTCTATGGTCTCCAAGTTGTGTGTCCCTTAGGAGTTAGAAGGTATGTGTGTTGGGGAGGGGGCATGCAAAACACACAATTTGTATACGTATTAATATGCATTGAAATATGCACTCTTAAATACATTAAACAAATAGTATTTTCAGCCACTGCATGCATTTTGGGTATTTTCCTCTATGCTACTTTTCTCCACAGGCAGCTCATTACCGAACCCCTCCCTGATGCCATATCATAGAGTGCCAGGGATGGCCAAGCCCAGTCATTCACCTCAACCCAAGAGCATCCTGCGTGGTCCCAACATGAAAAGCCACTGCTGGCAGATCCCCAGTGACGGGGATCTCTATGCATTCCATCACCTCCCTTCTCCATGCTTTCATCCACTCGCACATCATCAAACAAAACTTCATCCTGTGACTCCACCGCTCATTCTGTCCATTCCAGAAACCCAAGGCTCAGTGTTCACTGCACCCCCGTCTTGTCCATCCCTAAACGGTTCTGCCTCCTTGGCCTTTCCTGGGGCTTCCTGTAACCAAGCATCAGGCCTGACTGCTTCTCACCTCCCATATTAGCTCTCTCCCAGTTCCCACTCTTCCTTCAATAGCAGCAGCATTTTTCAGGACTACGTCTCAGAAGGCTGTGGTCATGAGGACCAGCTCTTGGGAGCAGGGTTTCAGAGTCAGGGAGATGCGGCCGGATTCCCATTCTGGTGCTGCCCTGGACTCTCCCATTGGATTCTCATGCATGCTCTGGCAACTTTAAAACTGGAATGAGTGCCAATCAAGTCAGAGAATTGCCAACAGGTTCGTGTAGGAGAGTGTTAAGAACTCTGTCTGGTGCATCCTTGACAGATTTTGTGTCATCTGTGATGGTGGTGATGGCAATGTGGTGTTAACAATGGTGGTGGTGGTGGCAAAGATGGCTGTAGTGGCAGAATCGATGGTGATGGATGGTGAGGAAGATGTTGCAGAGGGTGGTGATTATGGTGGTGATGGTGGCAATGAGGATACCCTCCACAAGGAAACCTTTTATATGACCCACCCCTCTTGGAATAAAGCTACATGTTCGCATATAGCTTGTAAGACCCTCGGTGATCTGGTTCCTGTCTAAACCGCTGACTCTGTTCTAGTCTAGTCATTCTCTGCCCCCCAGCTACACTGCCTGGGCAGACCTCAGGACACATTCCACTTCTCCTCAGGTGACACTTCTCTTGCCAGCCCACACCCCACCCTCAGTACCCCAAGTCTGAAGTGCCTGAGGGAGATTCCTGTTCCAGGGAATAAAGATATGGGCATGACAAACCACCAGTTTAGGGCACAAATATGTGTATGATCCTGAGAGAAGCCAGGCGAAAGAGCTAGCATCTCAGCAGTCATATCTAGATGTCTACTCTTCTCCCACTACACTGTCCCCTCTCTGGGCTCCAGGAGGCAATAAGATCCATGGCGAGAGTTCCTTGTAGGCCTCAGGAAATCAGGAATTCTGCATCTATCTGCTCTGGCCAGGGCAGTCAAGGCCAAGTGAAGATAAATAGTCTGCATGGTCTGCATGCCAGCTGACCCCATAGGAACTCAGCTAGGTCATGGATGATGGCTCCCAGCTAACCCTGTAGGAACTCACGCTAGACCATGGACCATGGCTCACTGATTGAGGAAGTTCCTGAGCACAGGCTTCATAGTTCAGAATGCAAAGGCTCTGCTTGCCCCATAGCAATGTCTCTGTCTTTGCTACCCAGTCTCTGTCCTCATTGACAAGCCTCACACAGCCCTGATCCCTCATCCAGGTCAGTGAGGATGTGGGGTCAGGAATGCACAACAGTGGTCAGGAGTTGGCAAGAACAGTGGCTAAAAGCTTAAGTTTGTGGGCTCTGGCTGAGGCCAGGCCTAGGTCAACCAGGCCCACAGTTAACAGCTAAGGGCTTCACCCTCACCACACTAGACCTCACCCCTCTCCATGGAGGTCAGCAAGGTCAGAAACTCACTGGGGCCCACAGTTCTTAAGGAGGGTGTTAGGGAGCCCCAAAGATTCTGAGGTATATAAAATAAACCAACAAGAACCACAGAGTACCAAGAAAGGACCTCTAGATAGCTTCTCTCTTGAAGCTTCTTCCATGAACTGCTTCTATACCAGTGTCTGGCCTGCTTACGCCATAATAAACAAACTGTCTTTGAGCTCTCATGAGTACAGAGGTCCCCTATTTACAATTGTTCTACCTAGACACTTTCAACTTTACAATGGCACTGGGCTTCGACTGTCCAGCCAGAATCTTTATCCGGGCTAGTGATACATCTGAGTGTCTCTTTGCACTGGGCAGGGACACCACAGTACTGGGTCGGCACCAGAGTCACAGTCAGAAGAAGGCAACACATTATGAGGCTGTGCTACCAGGCTAAGACTTTGGGTGGCATCGATGTATAACCCAAATTTTCCATTCACACTGTTTTCAACTTACAGTGAGTTCCTTGAAACAGAGTCCC